CTGACACGCAGTAGGTATTCAGGACAAGTTGGTCTGTGTTCAGTGTCATGCATGTAGGATTTGATTGCGTTCAGAAGAGGCATGTACGTGTTTGCATGCTTAGTTATTTTTAAGTGTGCTAATTGCCTCTTTAAGTGAATTGTCATAACTGTGTGATTCCAATATTTTGATACAGCATATGCTTATTTTTGCAAAAGGCTTCTGGTCAATTGGGCCGGTGCCAGCAAATTGAGGTTTTGTTTTTTGACTGAAAGGAATGGACTTGAGCAGTCACTTAGCATTCACCGGGCACCTGCTCTGTGCCAGCACCTATTTTAGCGGTGCCGAGGGACAGGGAGGGAGGTGGCAGTCAAAGCACATGAATAGCAGGTGGCTGAGGGGCGTAGAGTATGTTGGGAAGGACAGATGTGGTTTGAAACTAGAGCCTGGGACATTCCCTCATTTCCCATGCTCATTTATTGTGTTGTAGTGAGTCTTTACTGTGCACTGTGCTAGGAACTGATGACAAGACAGTTTAAGGACTTCCCAAAGACACAGAGTAAGTAAACAGCAGCTCACTGGCTCAGGATCCTCGTTCATGAATGCTCCTAACTCACACAGCACAGGTCTGAGCAACACAGGGTGATGTCTGTCTTCAGCCTGACCACCGAGATGGGCCGGGGGCCGATTGCGTTTAGGTGTGATAAGCCACAGATATCACATCACCCCAGAAAACAGAGTCCCACTGCCGGCTTTCCAGTTCATAGTCGTCGCCTCAAGGAAGAAGCCTTCCCAACCCCTCTGCCCATTCTAAGGCAAAACTCTACTCCTCTGATGCTCCCTCCACAATCCCTTGTGTATGTTCCCTGTAGTATCATAGTATTCATGACGACCTGCAATTATTTTGACTCTACTCACCCTCTTCGTGTGTCCCTGTCCCCCACATCCCAGTGTGCTACTGTTTACCTATTCTGTGTCCTTGGGGAAGTCCCCACCATCTCTGGAACTCCAGATGAGGGCAACAAGGTTAGTGATAATAACTGACACTGACATCACTGACTGCTGGCATTGTACTGAGAAACTTACATGTTACTGATTCATTTACTCTTTACAGCAGCCCTATAGATACATACTGCCCTTACCCACTTTCTCACACATGAGGAAACTGAGGCATAGAGAGGGTGTTTTAGTGAGTTTTGCATTGCTATAAAGGAATACTTGAGGCTGGATAGTTTGCAAAGAAAAGAGGTTTAATTGGCTCATGGTTCTGCAGGCTGTATCAGCAAGGCACTCGCATCTGCTCAACTTTCGGTGAAGCCTCAGGAAGTTTTCACTCCTGGCAGAAGGCGAAGGGGGAGCAGGTTTGTCACATGACAAGAGAAAGAATGAGGTAGGGGGTAAGAGGTGCCAGTCTCTTTCAACAACCAGCTCTTGTGTGAATTAATAGAGCGAAAACTCACTAATTACCGCAGGGAGGGTACCAAGCCGCTCCTGAAGGCTCGGCCCCATGACCCAAATACTTTTGGCCCAGCCTCACCTCCAACACTAAGATCACTTTCAACATGAGATTTGGAGGGGACAAATATCCAAACTGTATCAGAGAGTAAGTAATGTACCCAGAGTCACACACAGGTGGTAAGTAGCAGAGCCAGGATGCAAACCCAGGCTGCCTGGCTCTTAACCATTGCACGGCACTGCCTCCTGCATGATAGGGACAGTAGTTCCCACCTCCAGGGCAGTCCTGAAGGTTGAGTGAGATGCATTTTTATAGCATCTGCCCCAGGACCTGGCTGTCCATTCAACTCATTTTTTTTTCAGATGAGGTCTCACTCTGTCAACCAGGCTGGAGTGCAGTGGCACAATCACAGCTCACTTCAGCCTTGACCACCTGGGCTCAAATATCCTCCCACCTCAGCCCCCAAAGTAACTGGGACTATAGGCGCATAGCACCACACCCAGCGAATTTTTATTTTATTTTTTTGTAGAGACAGGCTTTCAACATGTTGCCCAGACTGGTCTCGAACTCCTGGGCTCAAGCGATCTTCCTGTCTTGGCCTCCCAAAGTGCTGGGATTACAGGCCAGCTCATTGTTTCTGAGCTCTTAGTTTGTACCCAACTCTGTGCCAGGTTCTGACTGAGGCATTGGGGATATAGGGAGCAAAATGCACATTAAACATCAAACAAATAACCACACAAGAAGTCAGTTAGCTACTTATGCGATGAGTGTCTCCACAGCAACATTCTGGGCAATCTTGGGGCATGTAATGGGATTTGATCTACCCTGGAGTATCAGGGAAGACATTTAAACAAAATCTATTGTGGAAGGATGAGTAGGAACGAGCCACGTGAGGGACCACATGTGGCGGGCGGAGCAGTCCAGGAGAGGGAACTGCACAGGGGAGAGCGCAGAGGCAGGAGAGGTCCCTGTGACTAGAGGGGTGGCAGGGCCAGGCCATGCAAGGACTTCCAGGGCTGGATTTGGGACTGTGGACTTCATCCCGAAGGCAGTGGGGAGCTCATCATTTGACGTGGGATTGACATCGTGTGATGATCATCTTGATGGAGACCACTCTGGCTACAGAAAGAAAACAGAGCAGCCCAGAGTGGCCAATACAAAGGGTTGGTAAGAGGTGGCAGTGGCCTGGACTAGTGGCAATGGGGATGGAGAGAAACAGATTGTAAAGATATTTTGGAGATGTTTCACTGGATTTGAGAGGTGCCAGAGGGTGAGTCCCAGATTCCTGGCTCTATGAACTGGATGGAAAAATTCTCCAAGCAGCTGTCACTTGCCGAGATGGGGAGGCCACAGGGGCACAGCAGGGGAAGGGGCATTATGACCAACAAATGAGAACATTGACTGGGCATGGAGGGGCTCAGCCCTGGAGCTCAGATGAGTGACCAAGGCTGGAGGTCTAAATGTGGCATCTAAACAAGAATCTAGAAAACCTAGACTGGTCGAAGTTCACTGGGGAGGCAATGCAAGGCAGGAAGAGAGGGGCGCTCAGGACTGAGCCTGAGGAACCCCAGCATGAGAACAGAGAAGGAGAGGGTGAAGCAGGAAGGTGGGCATAGTCATGGCTGTTCCCAGATGACTGCCCATCTGTGAGATCATCCCACCACAGCCCTGCAGAGGGGGCCACTGAGCAGGAGACCATGTGGTTCTGGGTCCCAGGGGTGGATCCCAGGGTGGCAAAGCACGTACCTCTCAGTCTGTTCTATGGCTGTAAAGGATAGTCTAGGGCTCTCCCCCGTGGCATTTAGGGATCTTGTGCTTTCTGTCATTGCCACGGGCTGTACGCACGCACACCCAGCTATCTCCACTGCTCAGTGACTTCACCCAGCAGACATTCAGGGGACCGGCCCATCACCAACCAGGTCCTGTGCCAGGCTCAGTGACCTTCGCTGTTTTAACACGCGCACTTAACAAACAATACAACGATGCTAGAAGATGTTATTTGATAAATGTTCAAGATACTGTATATGCCAATTACCCTGATAGGATCGTTATGCATTATTTGTATTAAAACATCACTGTGTATGCCACAAGTATGTACCATTATTTTATGTCCGGTTAAAAAAAAATGAAAGAAAGTGTGAAAAACATTTACCTTTATGTTTACCAATGCCTTTGATATCCTTCCTCTGTTTTAGAACATTCTCACCTATTATCTCCTCAGTTCTCCCCTGACCTATTCTCTCAGTCTTCTCGCTCCAGAATGCTGATCGAAGACGTGTCCATTAGACACTCTTACTCTGTCCCCTGTGCACAGAAACTCTCTTTCGTATTTCCTTTTTGACCGTCTATGCTGAATGCTGGATAATTTCTTCAGAGTCATCTTCCAGTTGACACATCTCTCTTCTGCTGGGTCTAATCTCTCCCAGAGTGTAGAAATGGAAGAAGAACTCTCAAGCTAATGTGCCCTTGGTACTAAAACCCAAAAAGGACAGTATGAGACAGAAAAATTATAGGCCAGTCACATTTGTGAACCTGATACAAAAGTCCTAAACAAAACATCAGCCAACACAACCCAACAATCTTACAAAAAGAATAAAATGTCATGGACAAATAGGGTTTATTCCAGGAATGCCAGATTGATCTACCATTAGAAAACCAAATTACATATTTACTGTATTAACTGCATTAAAGGAGAAAGGTTATTTAAGCCTGTCAGTAGGTGCAGGGGGAAAGAATTTGATAAAATCGAAAAGCCATGCACAATTTTAATAAACCCACACACTTTGACCCACCAGAAGGCCTCTCAATTTGCTAAAGAAGACCTCAAAGAACTCGTGGCAAACGTCATCCTTTGTGGTGAAATATGGAGCTCTTTAAGATAAGGAAAAAGGCCGAGATGTCTGCTCTCACTGTTTCTGTTCAGCCTCCTGGAGGTTCCAGGACAGTTTGGCAAGGTGGGAAAAAATAAACAAGGAAGGCCTGGAAAGGAGGGTGTCCAGGTGACTCCTGGTTTCTAGCTTGTGCTCCTGCTTGGATGTTTGTGCCGTTCGCCGAGATGAGAAAGGCTGAGAAGCCCTGGTTGGGCTGAGGGTTGGGAGCACAAGAGAAAATGGTCTGGCTTCCCTGGAGAAATCACCACACGTGGGATCAGGACACCTCAGCTCCATTCCCAGCTCTTCCCCCAACCTTGGATGAATGGCTTTCCTCCTTGGACCTGAGTCCCATCCGTGACATGGGTGGGCAGGAAAGATGGACCCAAGGTGGACTGTGAGGGCGGATCTGGTGGGAAATCAGAGAGGAACATGGGGAGCCGGTCCCCATTCTCCAGGAGGGCAGGCTTGTGTGTGCAGAGCCTCTGGTGGGAGGAAACATCTGTTTGGGGATAGGGCAGGAATCTGATCGAGTCAAGGCACCATCTTGACCCTCTGCCTTGCAGAGGCATATCCCTTCTCTTCTTTGCCAAAGCGTTGCTATTGCTATTGTTGGTGCCATTGTTGGCGCTGTTGGGTATGTTCTATGGTTGTAAGGCACTGACCCCCGACGACGTGTCTTTTTGATGTTTTAGACCTACAACGGCCAGAGCGAGAACAACGAAGACTATGAGATCCCCCCAATAACACCTCCCAACCTCCCTGAGCCATCCCTCCTGCACCTGGGGGACCACGAAGCCAGCTACCACTCGCTGTGCCACGGCCTCGCCCCCAACGGTCTGCTCCCTGCCTACTCCTACCAGGCCATGGACCTCCCAGCCATCATGGTGTCCAACATGCTAGCACAGGACAGCCACCTGCTGTCGGGCCAGCTGCCCACGGTGAGTCCCTGTTACCTGTCATGGTCCTGCTGGTGACAGCAGGGTGGGGGTTGAGAGGGAAGCAGAATGTTGGTGCTTTGGTAAGAACCCTCTGCTCAAGGGCAGGGTCTGGGTTCAGTGGGTTGCTTGCGTGGGAGTGTGTGGAACACAGCGGATGGGCGTGGAGAGAAATCTAATGTCAGCACGCTGCTCCTTTCTGGAGCTCTGTGTACGATATCTTGGTATTGGTTTGCATTATTTGTTAATAGTATAATCTCTTTTTGACATTTTTATTGAGGTATAATTTATATTCCATACAGTTCACCCATTTAAAGTATACTATTTAATGACTTTTGGTATATTCAGAGTTGTGTGACCATTAACACAGTTGATGTTAGAACGTTTCATCGCCTCATAATGACTTGCAGGCGGGCCACAGTGGTGTGTACCTATAATCTCAGCTACTTGGGAGGCTGAGGTGGGAGGATGGCTTGAGCCTGGGAGTTCTGGGCTGTAGTGCACTATGCAAATCAGTTGGCTACACTAGCTTTGGCATCGATATGGTAACCTCCCAGGAGTGGGGGACCACCAGGTTGCCTAAGGAGGGGTAAACTGGCCAAGGTCGGAAACAGAGCAGGTCAAAACTCCCGTGCTAACCAGTAGTGGGATCGTGCCTGTGAAAAGTCACTGCACTCCGGGCAACATGCAAGACCCTCTAACTAAAAAAAAAGAAAAGAAAAGAAATGCTGTATTCCAGGCATGGCGGCTCACATCTGTAATCCCAGCACTTTGGAGACTGAGTCAGGAAAATTGCTTGAGTACAGGAGTTGAAGACCAGCCTTGGCAACATAGCAAGATCCTGTCCACAAAACAAAAAATTAGCCAGGGGTGGTGGCGTGCACCTGGAGTCCTAGCTGCTTGGGAGGTTGAGGTGGGAGGATCACTTGTAATTTAAATTTAAATGTAATTTTAAAAATTGTATCTTGCTTAAGCTGCCAGAGAAGAGGGTGTTTACTGAGTTAAAGTTCATGGGATAGGTAAAAATGTAGCAGGCAGACAAAGGCAAGAAGAACCTTTCCCAGGCTGGGGGAATAACAGGTACAAAAGGGGGCGGCAAGGGTGCTCGTGCCGTGCTTGGGAACGGCATGTGGTTCATTGTTTTTATTGGGCTGGAGAAGAAGGACCTGGAGCCAGAGGGATAGAGGAGATGAAAGAGCTCAGCAGAGCCTGGATCGTAAGAGTCCTGAATACCGTTCTAAGGAGGTGTGTGTGTGTGTGTGTGTGTGTGTGTGTGTGTGTGTGTGTGTATCCATCTATATATATCTATATCAGATATCTCTCTCTCTCTCTCTCTCTCTCTCTCTCTCTCTCTCTCTATTAGCATGACTGATTTGAGGCCAGGCGTGGTGGCTCATGCCTCTAAAAAAAAGAAAAGAAAAGAAATGCGGTATTACCAGGTGTGGTGGCTCACGCCTGTAGTCCCAGCACTTTGGGAGGCCGAGGCAGGCGGATCACTTGAGGCTGGGAGTTCAAAACCAGCCTGGTCAACGTGGCAAAATTCCATCTCTACTAAAAATACAAAAATTAGCCAGGTGTGGTGGCACATGCCTGTAATATCAGCTACTCGGAAGGCTGAGGCATGAGAATCGTTTGAACCTGGGAGGTAGAGATTGCCATGAGCCGAGATGGTGCCACTGCACTTCAGCCTGGGCAACACAGCAAGACCCTGTCTCAAAAAATTAATGGCTGATTTGAACCATCAAAATCTATAGAAAAAAAGAACAGAGGTGCATTTTTTAATATACCATAGAAAAATCTCCTTAAGGGAATTCTAGTGCTTCTTCTGAACAACTGTGATTTGTGTTTATTTCTGCTTTTCCCTTCACAATTAATACTACATACTAGTCATGACTCTTGCATTCATTTTTAAGTGACAGGAACCAATCTCAAACTTACGCAAAAGAGTCTGAAATATCCAGGGTGTGGTCGCAGGGTTTCAGGCATGGTTTGATCCAGGAACCCCACCAGTGTCAGGCCACATTTCCACACAACAGGCCTGTTGGCTGCTGGCAGCCGGCATCTTCCCTGACATCTCTGGGAGAGAAGATCATGACAGCATCGCTGGATGGACCACTATGTCTATGAGGAAGCAGTTCACTCTTTTATCAGCTTGTCTCACACACACCTGTGGCACAGGAGGAGGGCTGCTTAGTTGATTTTTCATAGCAGAATCTCATGGTTTGGGGTGGCTTGTGTCTCCCTCTACCATGACTTCTCAGAAGCCACAGTCAAATTTGTGGCCCAATTCTAGCAGACCTCGGGGCCTTAGGGCATGGCTTTAGAGTCAGCCGAGCTCAACTGGATTTTATTTGTTTACTCTCCTTTTATTACCACCAAACTTCCTTGTTTAAAAAAGCTGGTGTCTTCTGTGTATTTTTTTAAGGCACATCACATTTTTTGTTTATTTTTGGAGTTAGGTGAGAAATGAAAGGAGACGAGGAAGAAAGGGAGGGCTGGAGGAAAACAACTTGAGGTCCACGTTTTATAGTGTTTGGTTCTTATGAAAGAGTTCAATGAAAATGGATGCTTCATTTCTACAGAAATTTTTTCCTTGTGGGTCCATCAATAATGCAAGTCCTCAGCTTCCCCTTCTGTCTCTGAAACCTAGCGATTCAGACACGCACCGCCATGTCTGAAACGGCTTTAACCCATTTGTACCTGAGGTTGCAATGTTGTGAATTCTTGTGATCAGACCTTGGTGGTAAGCTTGAGCAGTAGGATGTAAATAACTCCCACATGCTTAATGTTCCAATAATGGAACACTAGGCATAAAGGGGTTTCCACTGCACTAGAATGCTTGTACCTTACTTGCTTACCAGGCTCATTTTCTAGCAGAAACCTCACTGCTTGGGACCATCCCTGTTTGGGATTTATGGTAATACAAGCAAGAACAGGGTCAGGTGGCACCTTGTCATCTGCTACGTGGGCCGCGGTGCAGGGGTGAGCATGGCTAGAGTTTGGGGCCACTGTGTCACCACCTTTGGTACTGGGGTGAATGGAGACAGTGTCGGGTGGTGGTTGGTCCCGGAGACCCGAGTTAGATCCTGGCTTCACCTTTGAAGCTTCGGTTCGCTTGTCTTGGAATAATAATTGTACTCACTGAAGATTGTGGTGAAGTGTATTGGAGATAATATATGTAAAGTCTTAGCAAATGTCTGGCAGAGAGTAAACACTCAATGAGCATTCCCTATTGTTATTAGCAATAAAAATGAATTCCCGCTGTAACCAAATGGCAGTGTTTTCCCTTAAGTCTCATTTACCTAAAGGAGCAGCCTGCAGACACCCTCAGGTACATTTGTAGGGCCACCTGGTGTAATAGCTTTGACAATTACAAAGCATGTTATCTTTTTATCAAAGATGACCCCCTAATTGCCCCTCCTCGGAAATGCTTTTGTTGGGCTCTGTCCAAATAGGCCCTTGTAGTCGTTTTCCAGATTTTCTTTAACTCGTGTTTAAGAAGCTTCACAAATTCAGATAGCCTTGATTCTTCCATTAGTCAGACTTTGCAAGGGTTCACTGAATTTTATATTCCCTCTTTTTGTAATGGAAGATAAGCCAAACTCTATTACCCAGGGGAGGGCACCTGGACCAACTGGGAAAACCAGATAAGAACATGTACATGCGTTGGGACGACCTGGTGAAGGGAGACAAGGGGTTCTTCAAGACAAAGTTTTTAAATTCATCTGAACCACAGGACGAAGGGGTGTGGCCCTGTGTGTGCGAGGGCAAACACGCTACGTGATGACACTGGAATTGGTATGGCCCCCTTCTGGGTGTCAGGCACCATGCAGAGGGCTTTGCAAATGTTTTCTTGCGTAATGCCCCCAAGAACCAAACCAAGGAAAATGATAATACCATCATGAAGGGACGGAGACCCCGAGGTGGCGGGGTATTGTGTTAGTGTCCGATCGCTGTCCTAAGAGACTTCCACCAACTCAGGGGCTTAACAAAACAGAGATTTATGCTGTCACACCTCTGCAAATCCAGAAGCAAACTCTTTGGGCTGAAATCATGGCACCAGGAGGAACTCGCTTTCCCCAGAGGCTGTCGGGGAGAAATCTGTCCTTGCTCCTCTGCCAGCTCCTGGGGGCTGCTGGTCTTCCGTGGCTTGTGGCTGCCTCGTTCTGACCTCTGCCTCCATCTTCACATTGCCTTCCATCTGTCAGCGAAACTCCCTTTGCCCCTCTTATAAGGACATTTGTGTTGGCATTTAGGGCATTTTGGGATAATCTGGATAATCTCCCATCTCAAGATCCTTCATCACATCTGCAAGGGACCCTTTTTCTAAATACAGTACCATTTACAGGTTCCGAGGATTAGGACCTGATGTCTTTGGGGGGCATTTTTCAAGCCACCACAGTGATCCTCAGCTTGATCCACAGTGATCCACAATGAAGTGCGCCAGCCTTCATTGAGCGCCCACTAGGTACCAGGCATTGTTCTAGGCTTGGGAGCTACAAGATGCCCTTGAGGGACTCCTGGTGCAGATGGAGAAAAGGTGAAAAGCCTATTTCTAAAACTGTGGCAAATTCTCTAATAGCATCAGTGTGTGGTGCTCTGTGCTGAGAAGAGGCCCCTGACTTAGATGTGGGGTTATCACTTCCTAGAGGAAGTGTCCCCAGATGCAGAGTAGATCCTATAAGTACTTTGTGAATGAATTACTACCGTATGGCTCAGAAGCAGCATGGCCAGAATTCATACCCACCTCTATCCCCTGCCACCCAGATGGCTGAGGGATGGTGCGACCAGGCCGCCAGGGCCACAGGTGGCACAGAGGATGCCCTTGATGGCCGGGGTGCTTCAGGTGTTGTCTGCACAGATCAAGATACACTGGGGAAGTCACCCCTGGAAAGGTGGGCAAGGCCAAGGCATTTGACAGCCATCTCATAAATGCCAAAGCCCCCTTGACTCTGATCCCAGAGGCCACCAGTTCTTTCCGGTCCCTTGCCCTGGCCTGCTCAGCCTTGTGGGCATGCATGGGAGTTAGCCTTCTGCTTTAAAGGTACGGCACC